ATTGTCTGACTGACGCTTCTACCTTTTCTGTAGAACATGCATTAATAGCAATTCTCTGCTCTGACCTCGCCAGTTACTCTCCTGGAACTCATACCAATACACTTTTGGATTCCTGTTCTATTAAACTGAAACTAGTTAGCTGTTTCAAAAGATACTGCCAGGGCAGAGGGAATAAGGGGGCTGATTCATGGACAAAGAGAGATAGACAACATGATGTTGCCTATCATGTCCAAAATGTCTTTTTGTTTTTTCCCTCCAGAAAAAAAACCCACCAAGCCTAAAATAATATAAAACATGCACTTTCTTTCTTTGTTTGAATGAAAAGCACACTCAAAATATCATTCTACAGAATCATGACTTGTAAACTGTAAACTTGCTTGCATTTGGGCTTGCTTCTTCTAAGAAACAAGTTAGGACTAGTAGAGAAAGCTAGCTGAATTCCCCAGAAAGATAATGCCAGCACCAAGGAGCTTTCCTATTTGACACATCCCAACAGCAGATAAAAAAATTCCCAAGTTATTAATACTGAGGGTCAGATGCTAATCACAGATGAACCACACACTTTGCTCTTATCATAAAAGTATCTTAAGTGGCAACACACTGGAATACACAAGTGAGCCTGGAATTTCACCTTGAAATACCTGTCCTCACCTTGCCCTGCGCAGCCACGTGATCCCCTCTCCCCAGCAAAGTGACCAACCTTTGGATGTTCCAATTCAAATCGATTCAACCTTCTTCCTTTCTCAAATTGTGGAAAAAAGTTAAGTGTGTGAGGCTATGCCAAAACCTTCTTGCTGAGGACAGCCAAGCCCACCATCTTCAAAGAGAGCAGTCCCTACCCAACTATTCAGAGCTGTCTCAGAACACAGCCAAAATTTCCATCTATAAGGTCTGTGGTCCACCAAAGCCTAGTAGGTAGCACAAGTTCTGGGATTCTTGCAGCCAGACCAGAAACACTTTTCTAGACCCATTACCTTGTCCAGCATTTACACAACTCAAGTGACCAGAGTGCAGAGACACTGAAGCAGAATGAAAACAACCCAGATGAGGAACCTAAAGTATCATGGCTACATCAGCTGAAAAATTTAACAGATCAAACGAATGCAGGCACAGTGTCACTAGTATGACCAGGCAGCCTTCAGCACCTGAGTTACTCTCTCTGTCTGGTGCTACAGCTACTGCGCAGACACACCACCTCACTGCAAGTAACCTGGGATTTGGAGCCTTGGGAATGCACTGCTTGGTGTCAACACATCTCCAGCACTGGAACCCTAAAGCACTCTGCAAACTTACACAGGACAAAAGCAGCTCAGTGACTTCAGCTGGTCATCTTCTTCCAGAGTATGGTCATTACCGCTACCTGCCAAAAGAACAGGACAGCTACCTCCCATCCTGGTCTTCAGTCCTCCCCTACACTTTCTCTCACAAGTGAGCTGAAAGTCAGGGTAGCTTGCTTTCCTACAGAGTAGGCAGGGAAAGGGAAAGGGAAAGGGAAAGGGAAAGGGAAAGGGAAAGGGAAAGGGAAAGGGAAAGGGAAAGGGAAAGGGAAAGGGAAAGGGAAAAGGAAAGGGAAAACAAAAGAGAACCTTTCTCTCACAAGTGAGCTGAAAGTCAGGGTAGCTTGCTTTCCTACAGAGTAGAAAGGGAAAGGGAAAGGGAAAGGGAAAGGCAATGTCACCAAAAATAGCCAGACAAAAATAAAACAAAAGGTCAGAAAGATAAGAGTGAAGAGTATTTACAAGCAACAGTCCCAAACTTGCAAAGCTCAGATCATAACCGTAACAATATCTAAATATTAGATGGAAAAGACTGTTGTCAGCTAGCTTCTCCAGAATGTGATCCAAACAACTTTATTCTCACCTCCATGGAAAAGCCAACAGGATTTAAAATTAACTGTGCTGAATCCAACCACTTTGGCATTCATGAAGGAAACCTCATCGGTCAAACTGGGACAATCTTAAACTTGTCCCATAAAACCATGTTTGCAGGAGGCTGGTGGGGGAGGCCCACAGGGGGACTTCTCTTTATCAAAGTTTCTTGTAATTAATAGTATACACTGTCATCTTAAATTGACATTCAAAAATTCTGTACAAATCAATCTGGAGCTGTACACTTAACTCTGGATCTGCAAGATGTAACTGGTTACTATTTAAAATGGGCATTAGGAGGTTAAAAATACTGCTCCTTCTCAGTTACTTACAGCGCCTCAGAATATTAAAAGTAAAATTTTAGAACATCTGGTTTTCCTTTCCACTCCCTATGATATCATGTTTTCCAAGCACTTTTGGCAGCTCACTGTAAAGATACAGGCAGACTAAACATACAGGGCAATGCAGAGTCTAGATGAAAAATTCCAAAGCCCTGTGTGCACTAAGTGTGTTTCTTATCACTAAATTTCACAGTTACACAAGTGGTATAATAAGGGTTTTCCCCCCACCTTGTCAACCCATGTATGCTTCAACTTTCTTCCGTGATGAGATGAGGTGATATACCATATATTTGCCCTCTAGAGTTTTGGCTGCGTCTTTGTAAGTAATTTTTCATGTATTATGGGATATTCAGAGTCCCTATACAGCAAGATTCAGTTATAGAAAAAAATAATTATGTTTAAGAGGGTCAGATTTTGTATGTACTTTTCTTTATCTCAGCCCAGGAAATGAGATTAGCCTTCTATATTCCTCCTGTGTAAAAGGGAGGGGTAAAAAAAAAACAACAAAAAAACACACAAAAAATGCAACACACTCTAGAACCACTGCCTTTTACTGCTTGGTTTTGTGCCTCCTAGCCTGGAACTGGGAAATTGGACCAAACCAGTTCCAAGAGACTGTTTCCCATGAATTTACACAGAAAAATGGCTGTTATAAAAACTAAAAGCTGCTATTTGACCTATTTCTCCCATATATTTTAATGTATCTTGATAGAACCTTTGCATTTTTTCCTTTTTACCTATGTTATTATTTTTACTGGGTCACATTCAAAACACACATTAGTCAGCATGAACATACCTTTAAGCTTAGCACATACTCACATTTTATTAATGCACAAGAAGGTAGCTGACTCATTTATGCTCACCAGTGAAAGAGCAGTAAACCTAGAAATCCAACACCAGTTTCTTGCTCTAAATCTTAATTTCTCCATTTTGTAAAAGGACAGTTTGGAAATGCAAAGAGATGCCTTTTGAATCCTAACACGACAGAGTCCTTGGCTTATTTTTTCACATTTAAAAGCAATTTATATCATAGTAATTATTAAAGTGTACAAAGGAGGAAAATTATATATTTTAAAAAACTACTGACAAAATAATAGTCCCAGTGTTAATGCCCTGACTAAAACTTAATGACTAATCAATAAAACTATAATTATAACTTTCACCATGGTGCAATTTAGAGTAGTTTATATATTTCTATTGATCAACTAAGACTTTATATAAAAACAAATATGAGAAGATCTTGCTTTGTGCTATTTTTATTACAGGTTTGTTGTAGCAAATCTCTAAATCCCTACCTCAATTATTTTACAGCTTAGTTTTCCCATCACACCAAGGGGAAAAGAAAAGCTAGCAAAAAGTAGGATCTTAGCTGAAAAATAGCTGTTACAACTTCACAGTTTCCACACATTTCAGTGGCTGTCACTATTTATCTGGCCTCAGAGTAGCAAGAGCCAAACATATGAGACAGCCCCGAGCAACTCATGTAACTATGCTGCACCTCCACTTGTCAGCCTGAAAATGAAAGCAGTAAGTCCCCAAGTTGTAAGGGTCACAAAACCACAGACCATCTTGGAAGACACAGGCAACAGGTCCTGTAATCATGCAAGGAGTCAGTCACCTGTAGCCAACTGTTCTTTGGCTGCTGCTGATTAAATTACCCGGCTATAGCTGTCTCACAGAACACTCACAGCCAGAGAAGTATACTAGAAATAACCCACTCACAAAAGAAAGAGCTTTTGTTTCCGGTGGATTTTATCACAGAGCACTGGCACTTCTTCATGAGAATAACTGTCATTTTGTTTGCTTCTGAAACAGCATTTGAGAAGCTTAAAACACCTCTTGGATCTGCTGTTCCATGAGATATTGGCAAACAAGGAATTTAAGGGCTCTGCATTGCCACAGTGAAGAACCTTTTGCTGATCTCTAATAGCCTTTATAGAACTTCTATGGAAGTCAGATCTGTGCGTTGCCTTAAGTTAGAAGTCGTAACCTGACAGCACAGGCTCTCATCAAGATCAAAAAGAATCCACCTGAGGCAGAAACAAAAACACATCCCACCCAGCCCTAAATCTATCACCTTCTATCTCCTCCTGCCTATAACCACGACTAGAATGGTTAGTAGGCGCTGCATTCACCTATCTTCATGGGCTTGGTATGTTAAATTAAGTTCCCTGGCTAAGTCCCATTCAATCTAATCAGTATCATTTCCACAGAAGAATAAAGATTATTGGAATCAAAGCTGAAACCAGAGAGCAGGGAGAGCTGAAATGCTTCCCACGGGAAGTAGCCAGGCTATGCTGCTAAAAGAGCGAGGCACCTGGTGCTAAGCTGAAATGGCACAGGTCCCTCTGCACTCCTGGTAGCTTGGGCCCAACCTACAAGTAAGCTAAGCCACCACAGGAGTATCCATACACAGCTACCTGTACTGGAGAGAAAGAAGCCAGTGGCACAAGGAATGAAAAAACTCAGTTAATAAACCTGATACACAATCACTACAATGTGAGGCTGTATTTATGTTTTGGAAGAATTCACACTTCCACTATCTACTGACTTAGCAAGATCAGCCATTAAACTTACTAAGAATTTATACAAACTCATTTATTCACTTTGAAACAATTCTTACAAGTGCCAACACTTCATTAAAAAATACATAATATTTTTGCAAGAACTGTCACAAGTACAGAGATGATCAACACTTTAAAAAGTAAGAGATGACAGCAAACCTGAGCTTTCATCATGTAATGGTTTCCTCTCCACCCACAGACACACGATATATGAACTTATTTCTTACCACTTCCCCAAGGGAGGCAGCCACCATGTGTGCTGCTGGAGTCAGGTAAGGTGTAGAGCCATGGTGCAGGATGGATTTCACATTCTCATAGGTGATAAAAAATGCAGCAGCTGAAATTGAAGAATACATGCAGTCATTTTACTGTTCCTACATCACAGAACTAGCTGAAAAACATTTAGAGGCTGATTTTGTTACCTATTATTCTACAACTGTAGTTGAAACAGGAATTTTTTGCCCCAGAACAGTACAACAGTATGAACACAGCCTGTGTGATAATTCCTTCAGAAGTTCATGCTCCTGGCTGTCACTGCCAAAACTCCCATTAATATCAAAGGTGTCAGGACTTAAGGCCATATTTAGTACTGAGATAAGGAAAGATGTGTTAATTACTCATGAATGTCCAGCAGGTTTTGAAAAAATGGTATCTTCCATCTTCATAGACAGGAAGGGTAGAGAGGAGGTTGTTGTCTTAAACTGGATGGATGGTCTTTAATTTTCTGCGGGGAGGAAAAACAAACTAACAAAAAACCAAACCAAATCAGTTGATTAATTGAAAAGAAAAAAGTGAAAAAAAAAAAACCCAAAAAACCCAAACAACAAATAAAATCAAGGTACTTGATACAAGTCTGCTACGCTGCAAAGTGCAAAAGTGTTTCAGCAGCAGTTATCAATAACTTCTTCCCAGCTATTGTCAGTTTAATATTTTGCACTTTAGCTCCATAAAAAAATTATTCCAAGCTTCTAAAAGTCCCTTCCAGGGAACAAGAAACATACAAAACTAAGCTGAGCACAGCAACTTGAGCTGTGTTTATTCACTGCAACACTCAACTACAAAAGCACCTGCACTTTAAGGGTTACTCTTTCTCCTAAAGATAATTTCATTTCTCAGTCATACGTTGGAAAGATAAAACCACAGTTCAGATTTTGAAGATGTAAATCCTGAAAAAAACTGACATGTCTTACGGGGGAAGAGATTTTAATTGTAAAGAAGGGCTATGTGAATTGCCTTCTGCTAATCAAAAGATGCTTATCACCTCAAAAGGAGATAACAGAGCAGACAAGATAAAGAACTGAATTTTTTCATATCATCTTATGAAGGACATCAAACATCTCAAGGTGTCAGTGGATTTGTAAGCAAAGTTCTCCTAACATTTACTGCTGACAGCATAACTTGCTACATTTTTATTCCTCCCTACACAGACAAAATGGACAAAGGCACTGGGAATTTGAGAAGCCTTTTCTCTGCAGGGACTACAGGCATTTAATTTTTTAAGTTTCAGTTCCAAAAGTATTCCTGATGTCTTCTCATTTTAAGTGTTGTAGTTGTTTCCAGGAAGTAAAAGACAGGCACAGCATCCCCAGGGCAAGTAGCTCAAAGGCCTCCAGTGCCCAAGGACTTTGAATTTTGATTCATTTCCAGTGCCATGAAAGAGTGGCTCATGATAAACATGTCCAGGACAAGCAAGACTCAGGCCTCCTTTAGCACCTGGAAATGCTTTAGGAGGCTCCTATAAGTAAGGGCAGGCTTATAAAACATATCCAGGAATGCTTCCAAGGAGTATGGGTTGCAGCAGCCTTCATTACAGGCTTCCCCAAAGAGTTTGTTCAATATTGTACAATTCTAGAAACTGCTCTACACAGCTGGACATGGATTGGCCTCACCAAATCCAGTCAGGCAGCTGCAAGAGAAGTCACAGATATGAATGTCCTATACTACATAAGTTCCTGCTTAAAGAAGACAAAGCATAATCCAAGGAAAATTTACCATTTGGAAAGGATCCTATAGCAGTGGAAGGAACACCAGCATAGATGCCACGAAAGCCACCAGCCTTCCTAAATCCTTGAGGACTCTGCAGTCTTGTTTTCACAGTATCCAGGGGAAAAAGGATCAAGTCAACACAAACACCAGCAACTCCACCAGCCTTCAAGACAAAACCATGGAGTAAAGTGGATTAACATTCACAGGGATGCAGCTGTGGTGCTTATGTGAGTAACTGAGGCACGCCCAAACCAAAGCCCTACTGACCATATCCTTTCTGAGGTCAAATTATTAACTGAGTATTACACAGACCTCACTAGCTTCTGTAGCTATAACAAGGAAGCTTCAACAAAAGAGAGAAAGGAATAGATGTTACAACTTTTAAACCATTTTTAAGGTATTTTCAAAACAATATTGGTGTTTTCAATAGTACAAGCCAAGCAATGCAACACTAATGCTCTACACATAAAAGCAAGACGGTGAATGCCACTTATCAAGATGACACAGCACAGAATGACCAGCACCTCCAGGAAGTTGTGTGATAAGATCAGGGAAAGACAGAAGCAATTCTGCTTTCCCTGTAAGCATCTCTAGAAAGCACATTTTTCCAGCAAACTTCTTCATTTAAAGTGTCACCTTCCCATTTCTGTTGTTGAACAAAACCTAAAGCTTTATTTTCTTTTGCTGACAAAAGTCTATGAAAGAATCAAATTATATAGAGATGTTTTCCAAGTCAGAAGGACAAGGGAAAGTTTTTTATACAAAGTAATTCTTAAAACCAAACCCTAAAATAACAGTTTCAACTAAAGCTCAAACTTTTTACATTGTCTGTGTTTCTAGTGACTTTTTTTGTTTAAGTTTCCCCAGAACCTGGCTGATCTGTAGAAAAGAATTACTTATCAAAAAATGGAGGAGGAGGAGACTGAAATAAATAGAAAAACTCATCTCAAAAAAAGAAAAAAAATAATCAATAGTCAGCCATTATGAGACACTACTTAGATGCACTGTTATTCAGAACAGAAAATATAGTTTGAAGTCGACCTCATATAAAGCAAAGCACAAGAAACAGCTGCACAGATTTTTAACTCTGCCTGAAAACAAATCACATGTGCATTACTCCAATTTTTATTTTTTTTTTCAGGGCCAACAGAGGATTCAGAGAGATGTTCACTATCTACTACTAAAGTTTTAATCAATAAGTTAATTACTCTTTTAATCTATTTGGTTATTTTGCATGCATTGATTTTTCTTCACTTTTTTTCCCCCCATCAAAATCCTTATCTGCTCAAAATAACACTGATGACATTTAATCAGATTTAATCTAGCCATCTGTTAAAACATGAATCAAAAGTTACTAATTGCTTCTTTAGTTTTCAAAGTTCTGTATCTTAAATGTCATTTAAATTCATGAGGCAGCTAATAGAGCACCTGCCAGAGAGCAACAATACCTGTGTGCGTACGCCATCTGCAGAAAACAGTAATGATTTTTAGATAGATTTAGATGAGATATTAAGAAGAAATTCTTTACTGTGAGGGTGGTGAGATACTGAAATAGGTTGCCCAGTGATGCTGTGGATGTCCCCTCCCTGGAAGTGTTCAAGGCCAGGCTGGATGAGGCTTTGAGGAACCTGGTCTAGTGGAAGGTGTCCCTGCTGATGGCAGGGGGGTTGGAACTGGATGAGCTTCAAGGTCCCTTCCAACCCAAACCATCCTGTGATTCTATTATAACAACTAAAATGCACCTTCTCCCCCACCTTTCAGTAACGGCAGCATTATCAGAAGTCAAACAGCTAAAAAACCTTTACCAGGAGCTGGACATACACATTAAAAATGATGACAGAAAACCAGGACCCAATTCAAACCCACTGAGCCACAGCTTTGCGGGTGGCAGCCGAGTGCCCCTGGGGCAGGTGGGGCGGGGAGCTGAGCTGAGCTCTCCTCACACTAGCTCGGGGAACACACCCGTGATTTTCCACACGGAACCGAGGGCGAGTGCTGGATACCCCCGGGCAGGTCCCTGGCTGTGGGGACACGGCCTTTCCCCCTCGCACGCCGCGCTGCTGGGAGCAGCTTCAGGGCGGGACATACAGCGCGAAGGAGACGCCTCACAGCGCGCACACCCCGCCGGGTCCCG